GTGACGGGTGTCCGTTTTCAGTTCACAAAATGGAGGGGAAACTGTTATCGTATAATTTGGAATTTCGTTTTTTTGAAAATCTATTATTTAATCTATATTTGTTAATTCAGTCAATTTTCCTCCAACGAACTGCTACATTATTTCCTCGTCTGTTATTTTGTTGCCAATTAACGCCATTTAATAAGGCTTTTTATCAGATTCATCAACACATTTATATATGTTTACGTTAAATTAACATTTGCTTATTACTCAGTACATGGTCATGGTAAGTTACAAATAGTAAAATATATGTACATACATGACCAACTATGACACTCTTTCACACCTAATGGCGACCAATAACCAAACAATCAACGAATGTACAATGCACTAAAGTAATAAAAAAAAATACAATAATATCCTTTTCCTTCGTACAGTCGTTGCTAGCAAAATTGGTCCCAATTGTCGGTTCATGATTATCTTAATGAGCTGGAATAGGGAAACGCTACTTCCTAATACAGTACTTTTGAAACATTTCTGCACTGTTCAGCTTAATTGAATCAAGTAGTAGATAACTGACTTTGCAAACGAAAAAGAAACTAAGAACGCTTTATCGTATTTTTTAATCAAACATATAAATGTTTAAAATGTGACGAGAATATTTTACAGTAGTATTATTACCAGAAACAAATAAAGTCTTATCTGGCTAAGCCGCAAGTAAATAGCGGAGGCTGAATAAGTTTCCTATTCACGACACGGACACGCATATTATAATTTTATATTATACTGTTCCCCGCATATTTCAACGTGGTAATGATTGTTCAGACGTTGTCTCGTGACAGTGTAGGTAAACATTTTCAATCCTTATCAATTATTTTCGTACCGTACGTGTATTATTAAGTATTTTACAAGTCAAATACATTTAGTGTTTAAGTTTTGTGAATTGTTTAATTGTAATGATATATAGCATTTCCATGAAAACTGTGTTTTGTAAAACACGGGAAGGGAATTAAATGAAGAAAGCTCCGACTACGGGCAATCTAAGCCGCCAGCATTGTGACCATACTTGACATCAATGCTCCTCCATCAAACATTGTCACCTTAACGTAGTAAACAAACAATATGTGTGGATACATTAAGATCAGATTTTTTTGATTGCTTAGATGGGTGGACAAGCTCACAGCCCACCTGGTGTTAAGTGGTTACTGGAGCCCATATACATCTACAACGTAAATGCGCCATCCACCATGAGATATAAGTTCTAAGGTCTCAGTAGGTACAATTACAACGGCTGCCCCACCCTTCAAACCGAAACGCATTACTGTTTCACGGTAGAAATAGGCAGGGTGGTGGTACTAACCCGCGCGGACTCAAAAGGTCCTACCACCAGTAAATGTTGTGCTCAATATTAAAATTTTTTGTATTTTTCACTCGCTGAGATATTACCATTCCAAATATATATGAATATAATCGTCGTCACTGCTGGTGTTATCGCGTCAAACCCAACTATCGAATGCCGATACTATATTTTTAATTGTTTAAAAACAAGTTGTCTTGTTTTTAAATAATGATTTCGTTGTCTTCGTTGAAGGTCTCGAACACAAGTCAGAAGAGATCTGAACCGTTATTTCAGACTAACGTTCGCCAACATTTACATTCGTTCTCATTTCCAGTTGAATTAAAACTTGTTTACATTATTAAATCATCGTGATAAATTTCCAAACGTTTACATTTCAACGGCCCGATTAACGTGTGTGTTGACATCGACTTATTGATAAGTCAAAGAGTTTTCGTAACATCATTTTTATCCTACAACGGGTTTGAGTAATTGAATATACCTTCAAAGTTTCAATGGCTTCGAAATAAAAATAATTTTAATCGCGCCTTTTTTTTCAATATTAAATTGTGTAATTAATTTAGTAATGAATGGTAAATAATACTGGCATTTCCAACGTTTCCAATAGTTTCTGTGGTCGCGAATAATATCCTCTTTGTTTCTTAAATTCGTGTCAGTTCGTTTTGTTTGATCCCGAAAGTGAAAGGGCAAGAGAAATTTAGATATTCATTAAACTACAATTATTTTTGAGCTTAGCTGTTCAACACCAAATCATTCTAAAATTGGTACAAGACTTAACAGTTAAAATAATTCCTTTACGATAAATACAAGTGAAGAATGTGATAAGGTCATTATTTATTATTTAAAAAAGGATGTGTGATGATCTCATCGTAATAATAATCAGTCAATCAATTAATTGAATGAATGAATGAATAAGCTTTTATTCAGATCCATATTAAAAATATATGATTAAATATAAAAAAACAAAAAACTTAAATTTAATGTAAACCTTAATCTAGTCTCTTAATTGAATTTTTTACTTTTTTTCTGTAGATCTGTTTCAATCGATCAATGAATTGATTACATTGACAAACTTAAAAATAAAATCGTGAAAGCAATTCCATTTTTGTGAATTAAATTAACTACACAGGGAATAATTTAAACCCCCCACCCTCATGCGAGAGTACAGAGACGAATAATAATTGATCGTTTGACAAATGGACTTGATATTTGCAGCTTTTTGTTTGAATACTTAATAAGTGTTGTCATGTTATTAAGAGCTACTAGCTCCTTTCCGTACTGAATCCATTCCATTGGAATTATACCTTAAAGCCAAATGTACTTTGCACAGACAGTGAGTGTGGCTGTCCAACGAGGCAACGTAGCCAGTATCTTGGGAACTGTGCCTCCTTCAAGCGCATTGGAAGATCTGTTCTACTGTGTGGGTTGATTTATGTTAAATTATTTTGATTTGACTTTTTGTTAATAATAAAATACCAGAGCTATAAAAAAAAGAAGTTTCTCGTTTAAGCCAAATTAATTTCAGTTTCATTCATGTTTACCCACGTTAGCGTAGAAAACGAGTGATAATGTTTTTATCGGGGTAAAACGCACACACACAGGACGTGCAATTAACAAAACCCCGGCTTGTATAAACGATTAAAGTGATCTAAATTATTTACAGTTTGAAGGGAGAATAATTGCCGAGCGTAAACAAACATGACTGAACATTCAAGCGGTATTTAATTTTACCGTCCTTGAAACGACATCAAAGATAGCTGCTGCTCAACAGTAAAACTACTATGGGTTAGCGCAGACTAGACTTGATTGAGATAATTTTTTTTGCTTTTCCGATTCAAATTTCCAACTCATGTTTTAAGATGATTAATGAGGAGATTGAACTTCTGTAGAGAAATACCCGAGTGATTAAATTAGACGCACTTTAGTAGAAATTAACTGACCTAGAGTGAAACGTTCAGCGAAAATAAAATTGACAACGACAAAAATCATTATACCTTATAATTTTTCCAATGATTTATCATCAGGTACACATTTTATCAGCCACATTACGTACGTGAATCTAGCGATAAAACAACGATTACATACTAGATACCCGTAAACCAAACAGGTTTTATTACATTCACAATCATTCAAGTGAACAGAAAAAAAAGAAACTGTGTTCGTATTATCTTAAATGGAAAATAACTAAGTGCATAGAAAAAGTTAGGGTTCACTCCAGAAATAATAGATTTTTTTTTTCTACCTTCGCTGATGGCCTTGAGAGACTATTTCAGCGTAACCTTAATGAGTATATGAGGTCGCGGGGCTCAAATCCGACGAAGTTGCTAACACTAACCCTAGCAGGAGTAATGCTTCGCAGAATCTACCGGCGGATCGGAAACGCGACCCACTGAGTAGATCTGGCGAGAGACTCAGTGGGCTGTATCTGTGGGTTAACTTACTCGCCGAGCCCTTCGTCGCAAGCGACGGGTTCGACGAAAACGATGACCAGTGCTTGTAGTACCTAAAAACACCGTTAGTGGATGGGGTGGATCCGAAATGACGTGTTTTGGGCGACGTGGACTGTTCACCATTCGGTCCGCAGGATCGGAAATGGAAATAATAGAAATAAAGCGAGCGAGATATAGGAGACAGGAATGTTTGAGTCGGGGTAGGGGGGTAGATATTAACTCATTACGTTACATTTAATTGAAACGGCTATATTGAAGTATTGAAACTCTAGTCTCATCAAACTTCATCAGTCATCAAACTTTAGTTTTAATTAGAATCAGTTATAAGTGTTTTTTTTTATTGATAAGTTTATTGAATTGTGCTGTGAATCCCTCTCGTAAACGTTTCGGCGTTTATTGCAATATTACAACATAACCTTATAAATTTTGTGAAACACCAATAAGTGTCATGTTGAAATTGATGGGCGTCATATACAGCACCGCAGCCGTTAGAAGTATTAGACTGTATTATGCCAGAACGAGATAATCTTTGGTGATATCACACCGATTACAGAAGAAAATTCTGTATTAGATGAGCTAATTCATTAGGATAACTTGAAAACTGTTTCAAGCAAATTCTAAATGTAGCTCTGCCTAAATCAGGGGCCACAGCCGTTATGAAGAATATGATCGAAATTACCTAGAATTTTTTCAGACGATATTGCTTCGAGGGATAAAAAAGGTCTGTCCTAACTATGCAATTAAAGTTTACATCATGACACACTACTGGTCGTAAATTTTGTAACATAGTTGACAAACTAGTTAAAAATTTGCTAAACAATAAACAAGTTATATCGTTTCGTTGCCCGCGAGGGTAGGTAGTAAACATTTTTAATGCAAGTTACAGCACTGACCGAACATTCACGACAACAATAAAACTTTACAACACACTGTATAAGCTACATCGAGGGTAGTTTCAAGCGACCGCTTTATTTCATCTGTGCTTACCGCGTGTTTCATTAACTAGGGTATTCTCATTTGAAGTGACAAACAAAATGTATAGAATATTACATTATGTAACGCCACTTTTCATAGGCTGAAACGTTTTAAAATACTTTTTTTTAGAGTGCGGTTGGCTGAAGAAATATTTTGCAGATTCTATAACAGTTTTGGAATTTTAAGTGTTCTATTTTTAATTATTTTGCATAGATCATATGGGTCATATGTGTACTCACCGTCCGCGTCTACTTCATTGATCATGTCTTGAAGTTCGGCTTCTGTGGGGTTCTGTCCTAGCGACCTCATCACGGTGCCCAGCTCTTTGGTCGTGATGGTGCCATCGCCGTCTTTGTCGAACAGTGAGAATGCCTCCTTAAACTCGGCGATCTGTTCTTCCGTCAGCTGATCCGCCTGCAATATTTATGAGCGTTTTAAAACACTTTATTTATTTTTAATCAAATTTGCGTATATATTTTATCATAAAACGAATAAAAAACAAACAATAGGTAGTAAAAATCTATCGCAAATTGAAGGCAGCCACTTCCTAACTGAAAAAAAAACAACTTTACAAAACATTCAATCACAAAACCTCAATTGAATCAAATAAAAAAAAAGAACTGCATGATTCAACGCCACAGATCATTAGGACAGTAAAAAAAAAACTGTCAAGCAGAAGCCTATACGTACAGCCATGACGACCATAGTAGACGAGGATTCGCAACAGAAGACCGGCAGGCAGACTGGCAAAGTGCCAACAAAACTCTGCCGATAAGATACCAGGCAGAGATTATGTATAATTACCTACTCAAACTGACACGTCACAATGCGGCACAGATAAATATAACATACTGCATTGGAACATTTATCATTATGGCTTGCGATAATGTTTATTGTTATTGATATAAACTTTTTAGACCGAATTTATAATTTAGCCTAAATCGTTTCGCGCTATAATTAGTAATACGATGGCACAAGCCACAATCGTGGATCCACAGATTCCGATAAAGTTTGATTGAAATAGATTCCTGAAATTGCAAAATAACCTCATTTGGCACAAAATGTTATCAAACACTTGGATCCGAAGTCCGGATTCCGAACCTGCATGGAAGTAAGCCTTACGAACAATATTATTTGAAAAAATAAATATGCGATTAGTCTCGGTACGATATATATGATGTTCCACGACCGCACATTTCAATCGTACCATTCAAATCACAACTTTTGTCGTATAAACTAACACTTGTACATTTTTTGCATGTACATAAAATATAATCATATTCTCAGGCAGAATAGTCTCGTTAATGTTTGTTCTGATAACAATATCATTTTGAAACGTATTCAACATAATATAGATCCGCTGATTCACGTTTAATTGATCTGAATAATTCACGGCTGTATTGTACAGCACTTAAAGTACTTCACGGCCAACTGCCATTCGACTAGGCGCCTGGCATTCTTGAGGTGTACTGAGAACAATATTACTTACCTAAGTAATTAGTGGAAGTAGAGAGTAATGTAGGCCTATACCTATAGATACAGTTATACTGTTATTTCAACAACGAAGCAGTAATGAGTTTGTTTGAAATCGATCAATACAATTGAGACCTCCGACTTTATCCCTCAAGATGGGTAGAGAATTTAAGCGGTTAGGTACCACCACTCTGCCTATTTCTGCCGTGAAGCAGTAATGCGTTTCGGTTTGAAGGGTGGGGCAGCCGTTGTAACTATACTTGAAACCTTAGAACTTATCTTGAGATATAAGTAATAACTCATTACTTAAGGTGGGTGGCGCATTTACGTTGTGGATGTCTATGGGCTCCAGTAACTATTTAACGCCAGGTGGGCTGTGAGCTCGTCCACCCATCTAAGCAATAATAAAAAAAAAATTTGGTTGTTGTGGGCCGAAAATTTGATGATTAGTCAAGTCATGGTCTGTGGGCGAAAAGCAAGTGCCAAGCAAAATTCAAATATAGACACATTGCTAAGAGCCAGTTTTTTCCAGGAAAACCAAGAAGCTCCATGTATGTCCAATCTCGAATTCACGGCCGCTTAAATGGGATACTACTGTACTAAGAGCAATATATTTTTAATTTAACTATGTTTTAGTTATCAATAACATGAATAACTAAACGAATAAATCTAAAAAATATAGTGATGCACAGTCACTAACTTGTTCACATTGACACAGTAAAAATAAAACTAATATTACTTGATATAACTATGTTGTATTCTACACAGTGGGCAATAGGTATGAAATACTTAAGTTATGATTCAACATAGGAACACAAATGTATGAGGCATAAATTAACATTTTTTGTACAATTCCGATACAACTACACTTTTAAATGTTGAATTATTATTTAGATTCAGCTTGTTAGAGACAATAATCATTTGAGCTGAATAATCACTCCCTTTTTAATAAATTAATTTTAATACATAAACATGCTTAATGGATTCTTTTTTATTAGATGTGAATAGTCTCTTTAAGCACTATCGGAGGGTACCAAAATGATGTTAGCCTAAGAATCGCTTAAGCTACATTTGACAGGGCCACAAGAATTTATTATCTTAATTTTAGTTCCAATTTTAGTTACTAGGTAAATATTACACTATCATGTCACTTGAAGATTTATTTAAATATGGATAATTTGGCCTTAGCTATTTTAGAAAAGAATATTGCACATATATTGCCCTTTTTACATGATTTGTATTATCAGATATTCTAATGTAGTGAGAAACATAGCTTACAGCCCACAATGTCCTACATATTAACTGGAGAGTTGTATGAGAATGCCTCCGCTAAACCTCGACACATTGAAAGACCTCTATTAATTATACCAATAGGTGCTAACAATGGTTCTCATAATGTATGATAGAATGTGCTAAACTCTTTCATATTTTCTTTTTCCCAACTCAATTAAATTGAGCTTCAGATTAATCTCAACTCCTTGGATTTTCAAACACATTAGAAAAAAATATAATTTCAGATATATACAAAAATATTTAACTTAAACATATGTTTACACTTTAGGTGTTATGGTATAATTAAGTTTATCCTCAGTTGAGAATGCATATTTAGCATTTATCAATGTTTACTACTAGTTTATTATTTATTATACTCAAGCTAACATTTCATGACTTCATTTTATTGAGTAGCACAGTTATTACTAGAACAATGGATGTAAAAAAATAGTTAAAGATTAGAATAAGATTAAAAAGCTGATTCTTTCTGTATGAATTTATATACATTCATAGCCATGATCTGCGAACTTAGAACAATAAATAAATCATAACAAAAACTTTGAATGGCTGCAGGGAAAATATCACCATTATACCCCACATCCCCCCCCCCCCAATCCCCATTATTTTACTGGCAAAAAACTTTCAATGAATTTTTTTAAACACGAGTATGAGTATTCTCCGCTGAAATAAAATAGAAAAAATAATGGCTAGGGATTTAGTCAGGAACAAACTGTAATACTGTAGGCAATAGGGACTACACCGATCCTTGTGATTTCAAGTATTCATATCGATGCTTGAAAGGCAAACGTGACTAAGCGATAATGCGTGAACTTTACAGTAGACTAATTTAAAGTTGAAATACCTGAAAACAAAATTTATTTTAATGAATCTAGCTAGTAGCTGTAGGATTGAAATGATTTTAATAGACCTAGAAATTTATTTTTCGTTGCGCACTGAATATGGTTATTGCTTATCATTTATGTACAAAGCAGTTATAGTCGCTTAGTCAAGTTTGCCTTTCAAGCGTCGATTTATTCTTAATTTCTGTAACTTCAAGCAAAAGAAATTTTGGTGAAGCCAGATTATTCAAGACACCAGAATTCAGCTTTTAAAATATAACAAGAGCATGTTAAACTTTTTCGAAATAAAAAAAAAAACGAATTACAGCTGTAGTTTTGGTTTGATAAACAAAAACTTATTTACATGATTGTTACTATAAGTGGCACCGTACGACGATGAAAGCGACAAGTTTAGTTACCATTATGGAATTTCACAGCAGATGACATGTTATGTACAACAACACGGTCTAACGAAAAGAGTTTTACGTAGGTACAATATCAGATAATGACGATGAGTCAACGAGCGTTTGACAGTTGCGCCCGGCGATCGATCTTCATAACAGCGGCCGCGGCCTTTCGACAATATGCCCAAACTACAAAGCCATTTGTTTTCTTTCCAACGACGTCCCTGCGCCATTTCAACCGACATTAACGGCCTACTGCAAATTAAAGAACGTAATTTCACCGGCACCACCTATTAGATTATGGCGACCGTTGTTTCTGCATAGGCTCGTTTTTAAATATCGCAAAATCTAAAGCTTTCAACACTGCTTTGAAGTTTATCTATTTCGAAAGCCTCGCTGTGAGGCTTCAGTTACGCCTTCTGATACTTCTCGAATCCGCAATGCGGTAAAAAAAACGGCCATCACAATAATATAATGGAGGCCGTCATCACTATAAACACCGATGCATAACTTCTCCGAAATACGACCCGGAAACTGTTCCTCGTGATCTTCTGAAGGCACTCCCGACACCTTTCAATAGAAATAGCACTCACCATTGTAGATTAACTTGGATTATCTGGAGCTACACTAAAAAATCACAGACTACGCCGCAAAAGCGACCGCACGGACCGACGGCTGAAACGATACTGCCGCCCTCACTCGCGCGAGTGGCCTCGCTGAGAAACTCGGGATCGCGGTTCGGATCGAGCTCGGCCGCGAATCGTTCCGAATCGACTACTCGATTCGTCGCACTGTCATATCCGTCTTTCGTTCACGAGAAGGTTAGTTTCGCAAGCTGCAGGGCGGAAACGGTCTACACAATGATTATCCTCGGAACGTCCAAGTCCATGTTTCGGGACGCACAACACAGGATTAAATTTGCTCTGCAAAGGATAGTCGGTTTTATAAGGGGCGGGTGCGGTGGCGTAGAGCGCGAACCGGCGCGCGCCGATTGGCCGCCGCGCACCTGCAATGCGTCACTGCGGCCGCGAGCCCCACGCCAGCGAGAGCGGCGCCCGCCCGTGCCCGCTCCCGAGCGCCGCTGCCCCAGATCCGCGCCGCAGTGCCGCCCGCAGGCGCCGCTAACGAGATAACACGGGCTTCCCGACGCCGCGCCCCCACACACGCATTCCTACTGAAAGTAAACGTTGCCCTATCTTGTCGCAATATCATCTTCCGTATGATTCGCACACAATCGGAATGCCGGAAATAATAAAAATTTAAAAAACAAAAAAACAATTACCATCATTTCCTACCAATTAATATAGACAATTGAATTATGATAGTACCTACCAAAGTAATCTCTTTTATTTAAAGATACGTAAAAGCAGACTAAAAATATGAACTTGTAGATTGTTTATGATCGCTTTATTGTTTACGTGTTTATTGACCCTGAAAAATCAAACAAAGGCTTCAGGTTCGATTTAGTATCTTAAATATTTTTAGCATCTGGGGCTCTAGGTATATTTGTTCTCGTCTCGTGTATATATTTCCAGTATACATAATACAAGAAAAACCTAGCTTGACACTGTTATTTGAGGATTTTTATTTACAATGTGTGCAATGAGATGTAATTAAAAACACACGTCGGAAATATTTATGAAGCATTCATTGTAAGAACCCCGTAAGATTAGTACTAGTTACAAAGAGATTCTTATTACATTGTAGAAGATATTATAGAAACGAAAATGAATGTAATGAAAGGCATGCAGATTATAACTTTAATTTATCATTTCCATAAAAAGATTTATTGTAGCTAAAGGGGCAATCACGAATTCTGTACTGTAAAACCTTATATTTAAATAATGTTCATTTCATCCTTTCAGATTAGATGGTTTTAAAGTTATAATATTATAATATTAAAAATTTTAACTCATTTTAAGAGAAAAAATTAATTGTCAATTTTATTAAACAATCGATTGTCGATTGTAAGTATCGATTTTATGCAAGTCAAGAAACACATCACCATTGTTTAGATGACAGTACTACCATCTGTGATTGAGTTATAGAACTAAATTGAAAAATGAAAGTTTTCCGCTAAATTGTCAAAACCTCCGTGCGCATTGTTTAATTAAAATTTACTTTTTACATTGTGAACATTAAAATACTTTGTTCGCACTTGAAGTCATCATCTAACTCGTATTTGTTTAATTATTAATTTTTTTTAGTAAATTGTTTTAAAGTTTCTTTGCGTGTATGTAAGGTTTTTGTCATTAAAATACAATATTTATGTAATTAATAAAGGATTGGTTTTTTTTTTTTTTTTTGTTGCTTAGATGGGTGGACGAGCTCACAGCCCACCTGGTGTTAAGTGGTTACTGGAGCCCATAGACATCCACAACGTAAATGCGCCACCCACCTTGAGATACAAGTTCTAAGGTCTCAAGTATAGTTACAACGGCTGCCCCACCCTTCAAACCGAAACGCATTACTGCTTCACGGCAGAAATAGGCAGGGTGGTGGTACCCACCCGCGCNAGCTCACAGCCCACCTGGTGTTAAGTGGTTACTGGAGCCCATAGACATCCACAACGTAAATGCGCCACCCACCTTGAGATACAAGTTCTAAGGTCTCAAGTATAGTTACAACGGCTGCCCCACCCTTCAAACCGAAACGCATTACTGCTTCACGGCAGAAATAGGCAGGGTGGTGGTACCCACCCGCGCGGACTCACAATGTGATTTTTGGTATTTCAATATTGGCAACGATAAATGCAGTAGTGACTACCACTCACGATCTGTGTGTTTAGTGCAAGTATTTTAACGTTTTCGATAGCGTAAAAGTTAAGTCAAATTTGTATGCAGTTGGAATAGCGCGCCTAGCGGCATACGTTCCAACTCCATCTAAAGTTGAGTTAACTTTTACGCTATCGAGAAAGTTAAAAAGCTCGCACTAAGCACACTGGTGGATTATCAGATGCTTTACTTTTATACCAACACAGAATGAAAAATAAATTTACCCAACATATTCGAAAATTTTCATAGTTTTTCTAGATAAGACTTTATAATAAAAACACATTTGTATATAGTAAATACACTACTACAATAATTATATTATTATTATCAATTATATAATCATACTACAGTAATACAATACAATATGTAGTTTAATTATTGTAGTACTACATACATAACAACTACATTTTTATTTGTATCTAATTAATAATGAATATAAAAATAATAATATGTTCGTTGTTTGTGCTCCATCCTTAGGTAGCGTCTTTTACTTGATGGCTTGTCAGGTTTGAGCCCCGCGAACTCACCTACTAGTTGGATGAATCTAGAATAACCCCTCGAGGCTACAAGAACAGGTAGGAAAAAAAATATCGATGGTCTTGAAATTTTGTACATCTATTTATTGCACTTCTAGGCTTAGTATACTCGTATGATACGGTTCAAACTATATAGTATTGTATATGCTAGAGAAGCGTATATCTTGTTTCTACTAGTATTTTTTATTGTTTAGATGTATGAACGAGCTCACGGCCCGGCTGGTGTTATTAGTAACAAAATGGAATTATTCTGGAATGTTCCTTTGCATTCCGTTGAAATTTTAATTTGATCGATCGCTGAGGTTTTATACCGCTCGTCCTGTTAGGGGTGTACGTGCTGGTGTCTTTCCGACTGTCATGACCGCTGACCAACTGTCATACTACAATGATATCTTTACTCGATTCATGGTCGACGTCAACAACTTTTACTAGCTAACATGAGCCTACGGGTTAGTTCCACCCTCCTGTCTATTTCCTCCACAAAACACTGTGTGTTCCGGTTGAGATTGTGGGATAGCCGTTATTCAATAAAACGGATACTTGATGACGGAGGCTTCACGTTTTCAGGTGGATGGCGGCAGGTATGCTGTGATGCCCATGAGGCCTGGCCGCTGCTAACACCGCGTGGCCCTTGCAATATTACGAGGAGCTGTCAAATAACTCGTCACGAATAACGGTGCACGACCTTTATGTTTTAAGTAGGTTCATGGGGGCCCTTCCATGCCCTGCGTCAGTCGCTCACGCAACCCGTGGTCGAGCACGTACTGTGCTCCGCGCTTTATTCAGGTATTGTCACGATTTCGCCTCGAACATCCTACCCCCCCCAATCCCACTCTCCAAATAAAATTAAAAAAATATATATGAAAGTTCGAAAAAGGAAAAGGGTTTTGTCGGCGATTCCCCATTCCACATTTAATGTGGATTTCAGCAATGTAAGGGGTCTACATAGCAACCTCGACGCCGTACACCACCATCTTGAGACGGCGCAGCCTGCCCTCCTTTTTCTGACGGAGACGCAGATATCTGCTCCNAAAAAAAAAAAAAAAAAAAAAATAATAATTTTAATTATGTTGTTTAAAAAAAAACGTTTTGCCATACGTTTAGATGGCGTGTTCTTGAGTGAGTAATCCCATTAATTTGTTAGTGTAATTAGCGAGAGTGGGGTGCGGTTTCGGCTGCCAGTGTCATTCGGGTTCTAATAATTGCTTTAGGCGCAAACTACACTTTTAATTTTATTATGTGTGACGAACGTCACAGGGTTGTGGTAGAAATAGATTATTCATTAAAGATCCTTTATTTTGTTTATATTAATATTATACGACTCTTGAATTGCTATCAGTTCGGGATAGTACGGTTATTCTATCAATACAGATAAGCCTTCAATCTTACGTGTCAGGACTGTCAGGTTTGGCAAAGGCAACCGTGCTGTTGTGTTTGTTGTGATGGACTCGATTGGTTACTTGGCATCTGTTGGACCCTAAGTTCACCTATCTTATACTCGTAAGGCACAGGTCACTGCTTTCGTCGAACCGATCATCGGAAACGGTGACCGGTGGTTCATCGTGCAACTTAATACCACATTGAGTTTCTCACCGAATCTTCTCAGTGAGTAGCGATTCCGATTTCATAATAGATTCAGCGAACCTCTACTCTTGCTAGTGTTATCAATTGTTATGAGGCTGAGCCTTATAACAATTGTGTATGTAATGTGTGTGTGTGTATAATATACGGTGAAGTCAGAATAACCCCTTCGAACCTACTGGCAGTAGGTAGGCCCAATAAAAGCTAATGTTAACGTAGAGCAACCGCACAAACGCCTTGTACTGTCTCCCCGCAGCAAAGCACAAGGGCTCCTAGGACTACAGTTACTGCTACTACTGCGCTGGCGCTATGACCCCAAAGTGGGTCTTGGCCTCCGACAATAAACGCCGCCATCCATCCCGCCGCTGCGTAACACCTTGCCAGTTCGGCACTTAGAGATCGCTTGAAGATCCTTACCTGCAGCATCAGACCAGCAGTACTTGGGCCTTCGTTAGGAATACACTTGTATCTGCTTTAATTCAACTATTTAAAAAAAAAACGCGATTGTGCAGTTGTCTGATACATTGGTCTGAACCAAAATACATGACCGAAGAGCGTGCTGAGTGTTCACGTAATCTTGAACAAAAACATTCACCAATCATTTATTATTTTTAATTAATCGTATTTTTTACATTATAAATTAAAATTGCATAATTCCACATTTGTCCTTTTGCTAGAAACATCGAAGAATTCTAAATAAAAAAGATGTTTTATGATTTTATTTTGAGTTGTTTTCAGTATTTCGGTTAAGCACAGATCCCTTCCCTATTTATTAGAGCAATTTTCAATAATGATTTTAAGCAGGGTGGTGACGGAACAAAGACATTTCGTAATATTGACGTTATGTTTGAAGAGGACACAAGTACTCAACACACTACGGACAATAGCGGTTCTTTGTGGAATCTTAGACTTGTAAACAGAAGCACGAGTAGATACCATTTAGGAAAGGAAGACAAAGAAAATATCGACGAATTAAAGGCAATGAACCTTTATTAAAATAACTACGTAAT